GGAGGAGGATCTGCCTGACCTCTGAAACATGCAGTTCTTGATGCTGCAAAGTGATAGTCACTTGCCAGAATGCTGGCATCTGTGGGACCTAGTACCAATACCATACCTTTGGGCGGGAGGGGGGGGGGGCTGGCCAGCACTGCACCACATATGAGTCTATGTGGCTTTAACAGGGACGAATCCAGGCCATCTGACGGCGTCGAGAGCTGCGTAACGGAGAATGGGTGCTAAGGCGGCTTCAGCAGGCTAGATTGGGGTCCGATGGCATGAAGGCCTGCGTGGCGAGACACGCGACCCCTGATGCCCATGATGCTGGGTGTGATGGTGAACAGAGATGGCGGGATTGGGGTCCGATGGCATGAAGCGCTGCGTGAAGCAATCTTACTTGTGTTTGGCATGAGGTTGGCATGGGGTGGTTGAAAGACGTGGGTTAGAGTGATCGAGTGGCAACAAAGGCCGCGGCATGAAGGAGGAACGGGACCTTGCTAATGCTCATGATGCCTGGTGTCATGGCGCAAGAACGACAATGACCCCGCTGACGCCTGCTAATGCTCATGACACTCGCTCTGGTGACGCAGGGTGGTTGTTAAAACTGATAGACACCGAGTAATTAGAGTGCTCCAAGGGCGAGGGCTGACGACTCTGACGCATGACGACAAGTCCTGAGCCTCCGGGCGAGGGCTAGACGACGGCAAAGCCTGAGCCTCCATCGCACGCGGGAGGCGAGGGCTGACGCGACGACTTTTGCAGGTCTTCAGTTTTCAGGTGTCAGCCGCTGTCAGCCAGCTTGATTCTCCTGTCGTTGCGAGATGGGGGAGGAGAGGCCCCCAACTGATGTATCTACCCGTACCAGGTGTTTGATAATAATGTCCCATTTCGGGCGCAATTGCTGACATGTGGTGATGCACTTGTATTGTAGATTAAGTAGGTTAAAAGAATCTTCGGGAATCGTGGTACCATAATTTGGATACTGCCCGCATTCAGTAACAGCTGGAAAACAAGCATGATATGAACATATAAAGCCGCGAATATTGCCTTATCATAGACTCTTACTGGGTGGAGGCAGCACACAAAAGGCCAAGCGCGATCTGTCCATCAACAGAATGTCCCTGGGACGAGGAGTTCAGCCCTGAATTCGAGCCCTGGTACGAGCTCTTTTGGAAAGATACTAGAACCAAAAACCCTTTTCACGTGCTATACCCACCCTGAAACTGGGAGGGTTAAGGGTGGGGGGCTGGAGGAGGGAGAGAGGGGGGGTCCTTTGAGGCAAAACGCCCACAAGTGAGAAACACACACGGCAATGAATTGGAGTTGTGGTGGCTTCTTTGGGGGATAGTAGAGGTAGGGGTAGGCTGTGGGAGCGCCTCAAGCCTGAATTTTTCTGGAGGGGTTCGGGAGGTTTAGGGTCAAACGCCCACACAGTCTGTGCAAATGGAGGGAGGGGTCCAACCTCTCAACGCCCGCAGTTCTGAATCAGTAAAAAAACACTTTGTGTAGGGGTTTGGGTGGCACAGATGCTAGGGAGGCTGACTAGGTGCCCAACTGCTCATCCCAAGACATGGAAGGGGGGTTTAAGGGGTCGGGGAGGCAAATGAAGGGCTGGGGCTGGGGGTAGAAGCAGGGATAGCGGAGGCAAGGGAAGGCTGTGGGAGGGGCATGAACGAGGCCGAGTGAGGCCTGACGAGAAAGATGTGTGAGGAACACGGAGCAAGAAAGGCTTCACTGCGCTCGCCTCGTCAGGCCAGGGTCGGCGGATGTTTGATCCCGATCAGTGTGGGGGTCCTTAATTGTGCGAAGTTGCGCACCCGGAAAAAAAAGAGAATGGTTGGCCCGAAAGCGTTTTGGCAGAGTGAGTAAGACCTGATACAACCGTGCAGTTTTAGTAAAACGAACATCCATCCATCCCTCCCTCCCTCCCTCCCTCCATCATCGATAACGCCATCTATCACAACATCCATCACGCAACGACGATAACGATAACCCTGACGAACACCACCTCCGGCGAGGACCCATCGCCGCGCTTGCGGGAATGGCCAGCAGGCAGCACTCCATTTAATTACTAAACTTACCTGGGCTCGACACGCGAGCGCTACCACGCGCCCAAAACAGCAAGAGGGTCACCGATTCCGAACAGGATTCGCAGGACGCTCCACGCGCCAACACACTGACAGGGTCGTCGATTCTGAACAGGATTCTGAGAATGCTCCACGCGCCGGCATTACGATGCGCTGAAAACACCCAGAGGGTCAACTCGAGGACGCTCCACGCGCCAGCGTTACGACGCGCCGAGAACAAGAGAGGGTTGTCATTTGCGCGCTGAGACTTTCGAGGACGCTCCACGTGCCAGCGTTACGACAAGCGCAGAACACGGAGAGGGTCGTCGTTTGCGTCGCCCCACGCGAGAGCGCAATCTTTAGCCACCCGCCGAAAACAGCGAGAGGGTCGTCATTCGCGGCGAGAATTCGAAAACGCTGCACGCGCCAGCGTCACGACGGGCCGCAACCACCGAGAAGGTCGTCATTCGCGCAGAGATTTCAAGAACACTCTGCGCGCAATTGCGCGCCAGCGCGATTTTTAAGAGTCGTTCCGATTCCCTACAGCCCTACCCCGTGGTTTAGAACTTAAACTTAGTGAGGGAGACCATCCGGACGACCTTCCACGAGACCATCTCTTCATCCGATACCTCTTGCCAGCCTATTGACCTTCACCAACCAGCTACCTCATGCCATCATTTCCATCAAGCCATCACAACATCTATCCACTCATCAACGATAACGACAACCTTAACGAAGACCTTCGGCACGCTTTCGGGAATAATTCAGAGAATAAGTCAACAGTAAGTAATAAGTTTAGGGTCCTAATCCAAGCTAATCTTAGAAACTTAGATCTGAACTCCTTGTCCATTGCTTCCATTCCAGAACCTCAAAGCTCCGGATTTTGAGGACCTTTAAAACTCCTGCTACTCAGGTTTGAAGCCAGGTCCAAAACTGTTGATTTCTTACTACCTAGCAATAATTCTTGCAAGGGAGTAAGTAGTCCAGCAGCTGCCCAGAGCCTCCATAATACGAATGTTTGGCGGGCCCTCAATTATCCGTCAAATCGGGGACCCAAATCTCCGGATCCTTTCCAGAATTCTCCTCAAAACAACTTGAAACCTTTCTGAAAACTGCAAACTGAAATCCTCTGAACTCCTCAAACCTTTCTGAACGCCTTCCGAAACCTTTCTGATTTTTTAGCGAGCTGATCCGGATCCCTCCTATTGAATTTAAACCTAAACCTAAGATCCAGAATTTTTGGGGGGTGGGGCCGCCCCTAGATTAATTAGAGACGCAGTTTGTTTTTTTTGGGGGTGCCTACACTTATCAGCATCCAACATTGGACCTTTTTCCTTCAAGTTCCTAATAACCCCCACTTGTCTAGAGGATCCTAGTTTTGAAAAGCTTTTGGCAGGGCATCGACCAGGATGTGTGCCATGGGCAGACCTGTGGCGCTTATGGGGCCACTTGGACTTGGCCCGTGCTTGGCCGAATAGCATTCCAAGCCCTGGACATAGGCATTCTATGCATTCTGCAGTTCTGCATGTTTTGCTGTAATACTTGTGTGAGGTAAGCGCAGAGCCACCATCATGGTGGATGTAACTTCACGGCTGAATCACACTAGAAGAAAAACGTCCCCAGGGGGCGAGTCGTTTAGTTCCTGTCTGTTCAGGTGTGTATTGACCTGGTGGGCAATGCCTCAGGCTACGATTCTGCAAAGGCCTGGAGTCCTGAAGCTTTGGTTAAAACTCAAGTTAATTGCTGGGCTCATCAGGAATTGTGGGGAAAGATTGGGCTGTCTCCTTCATCGTGTTCTTTGTAATTCAGAATATGCGAATTTTTGGAGACCTCTTCACCACGCAGAAATGCCAGCTAGTTCATTGGAGCGGCAGCTTGCCGATACAAGGATGATCAGAGGAATCCAGCTGTGGCCTGTTTGGGAATGATGCGGTACATGGACATCTGCTTTATGCATACTTACATCTCACGGACTCACGCCCAATGAAGAAACGGGCAGGGCAAGCATTTCTTTGGCAGATAAGGCTAGGTCGGCTAGGTGGAATGCCATGGGCCTAGGTTTCGGATTCCCTGCTGCTCAAGTTGCTGTGATAGGGCACCTACCGCTGCGAGTGCACGGATGGCTTCTTTGACAATGGCAGAACGTAGGGACCGCAGAATTTGCCCAGATGGTAGGTCTGCAAATCTTTTGCCTCTGAGGTGTGAGCGACAGGACTGCGGCAACAAAACCGACCGTCTGGGCACCTGGCTTGGCCATAGCCTGAGATGGGGGATCCATGCTGTGATGTCCAGAGCTTTCCTTTCATGATGCTGACACCAAAATCCATGTCCAGTCATCTTTCAAGCAGATGGAAGGGACAGAATCATGAACACTGTGGGCAGCTCCAATATAAGCCAATACAGCATCGATCGCACTGCGGAACCGGGAAGATCCATGAGGCGTAACAAGCCTTTTGTCAGGAAGCACGAAGTTTGGCGGCGAGTACACGTTGAGGTGGGTAACGGTGGAAGAATGGAAGAATGGAAGCGGGAAAAAAGGTTTTGAAGAAGAGCCGTGCTAGCCGTGCTAGGTGTCCTGCTGGCTCTTACATCTGGGGCGGAGCTTTGCAGGAGGAGCTCTTCTAATCCATATTCACACGGCGGCCTTTTTTTTCAAAGCCGCAGGTGACCATGTCCTGTGGCGCCTCAGGTGAATGGCTGCCACGTCCTCAAGGGGAAATCCGCAGGTAGTTGCTGCAGGAAGTGGAGGGTGGAGGGATGTTTCAGGTCGAACTATTGGTGCGTGAATCCCATGGACAAGGCTGGCGGAACTCCCAGGAGCAGTCTGTCATAGCTAGTGTTCTGGCAAGGAAGCCCAGAACCGCATGGCCACAATGGAGCTTTGGCTGGGGGACTGCGGAAACGGGAAGAAGTATCTCTCGAAGTTTCAGTTTTCTGAGGTTCGATGTGGCCTCTGTGTTGCTTTGCATTGCCTCTGCAGCGCTGGCTGCTGGCCTCACCTTGGCACCGGCCCCAAATGCAAAAAGACCGCTAAAGTCTTAAAGTCTAGAGTGGCAGTGAACGCAGCTTTGGCAGGGCTTGGCCACAGTGGAGCCCTTTGGCTTGCAGGTGGTCCTCGCAGCGCGTCCCGAGGCGTCACAGAGTCACAAAGACTCCGACCACTCAACGATGTCCGATGCCTCTTCTGCCAGGATTGCACATCCCTGGAGGAGAAGGCCAAGCTGAAATCTGAGCAGGAGCAATGACCGAAGTGGAGTTGGGACACGGGGCGCTTGTGATGTCAATGTCCCTTCCACTGCAGGATTTCGCCGTCCGCATCTTCCCACTGGCACCGGCTTCAGAGGGTAACCGGAGCTGCAAAGCAAATGGCATACCAAAGTTGGGTAGAGCTAAGGTGAAGGACCACCACCTGCTGCTGGTGACCCTGCTTCTCTTCAACACTGTGGCCAACGAGGCCCCCACCCCCCCACCCCAGTCAGAACACATAGGCTACCAGAAACTTTGGAACCCCATGCGAACATGTTGGCCCAATGTTGCAGCCTTGCTTCCCCGGAGGCATTGCCAGTCTTCTTGGACAGGCCTACTTGCCGGCTTGTCATTGAGCACGTACTAAAATCCAAAAGTTCAGGCTTACCATCTTAATTCGCCGGAATCGTCTCAGAGATTCATCATTCTTGGCTTATCCTCCTGACCAGATGTTGATCAGATTTCCCTTATTTGCATTCTCTGCGTTCAGAAGAAGAGTGGGTGTGGGAGGTTGTCAGGATACATGGCTTAGGCTGAGTTCCATGCTGGAAAGCTTGCTACTGGAAGCCCCTTTAGCACGTGCCTGGCTGCGTGTGGTTTGAGGGTCAACCTAAACCCTTGCATAGTAGCGGAGCCAGACGTCTGAGGGACTCCGTGCTCGCCTCTTGCGGGTTGCCCCCGCAGAGGCAAAGGACGCGGGCTAGCCCCGCTCCCTGGTGGTCGCGGGTGGATCAGAAGTGGGTTGCCCCATGCTGGTGAGGGACTGCTGAGGCAGTCCAAAGAGGCAAGAAGGGCCGTGGTAAGGGAAGCCACCGGCCAAGAAGAAAAACAAACGAGGAACCAGAAGTGCCAAGGCCACCGCCAAGAGGGTGAGCCGAGGCCAAGCCAAACGGCTTGCTGCCGCTCAGGAGCGACTAGAACACGACAGCTCGTCAGCTGCTGAGGCAAGGGGCCGGAGTCAGCCAACAAGGAGGGTGGTAGTGAGACACAGTAAAAGGGAGGCTGAGGAGAGAGACCGTATCCTTAGCACTACAGCGGCTAAGTCGAAGCCTCGAGGCTGCAACAGGCAGAGGACCCGCGTCACACTTCGATCGGTGCCTCGAGAAGCCCAAGCAAATCGAGTCCTTAGGTCAGTGTCGGCCAGAAGGAAGAAGAGAGAAGGAGATTGCAAGAAACGTTTGAAAAAGTTCCTGAGGGAGCAGTCGGCTCGGCTTGCTGAACAAGGGTTCCGTGAAAGGGTGAAGACCCAAGCAGCCCTTAGGAAGAGGCTTCCGAAAGGCAGTGTGGGGGACGCCTTGCTGAAGCAGAGGACCAGTGAAGCTTGCAGCGCCTGCCGATCCAGACGCAAGGCCAATGGCCCGGTGGTGCGGAACTACGTCCTCAAGAGGTTTTCGCCTCAGGCCTTCGCACTGCGGGTCAGTCAAGGCAGCCCGAGAGGCAACCGCCAGGGCAAGGGCGAAGGCTACAGCCCGCAAAAGCGAGGCCAAGCCAAAAGCAGTTCTTTTTCCCTTATGTAGGCGGAGAACGACGGAAGCGGGCCAAGTTTCTCCGACGGCCCAGACACCGCTGGAGCAGCAGCTCCAGCAACAGTTGCAGCAAACCCAAAACATGCTTCTGCAGCTGAATACACGGCTGGTGAATCAAGAGGCCCAGCTGTTGCAGCTGCAAGCATCGCAATCCTCAGTGATGGCAGGCAGAGGTCGCTCGGGAACCTTTGGCTCTAAGCTTCCTAGACCAAGCCAGCCAACGACGCAGAGGATGGGCTTGGTTGACACCAGGCAATTAGGCAAGCCAGAGGTGTTCAAGGCCTCAACTGAGCAGAACTTCAGTGACTGGAGCTTTATCTTTGAGTCCTACCTCAGCTGCATCGACAGCCTACATAGGATTGCTGGAGCTTGCGAAGTTTTCAAAGGTCAGCGTGCCCAACAGAGCGCTTTCGGAAGCTGATGGAGATCCATCCTTTACTACGTCTTGGTTATGCTCTTGAGGGGAAGGCCCCTCAACACCACCTACAACACTGGAATGGGTGAGAGTCTTGAGTCGTACAGGCGCAGCTTCGAGGAGTTTCATCCGAGGGTGGCGTCCCGCTATGTAGGGACCCTCACAACTCTTTTGTCAGGCAAATTCGGTGATGATGTTGAAGGCGACATCGCGGCCTTCGAAAACAGTGTTCGTAGGTACGAACAAGAAAGCGGTTAACGCTGGATGAGGAGATGCTGCTGGGCATTGTGGTGAACGGGCTGAAGGACGACACCCTGCAGAGCCGTATCATTAGGAACTCCAGCCGGTTTAAATCGTTTTCAGATGTCAAGACGGAATTTTTGGAGATATCAAGGCTTATCAAAGACCAATCGTGTCCTCCAAAATCTCCTGCAGCCGATGGATCTTGGCGCTGCGCCATGGAAAAAGAACGACAAGGGCAAGGGCGGCAAGGGCAAAGATAAGGGTAAGGGGACCTCAAAAGGGTATAAGGGCCAGGGCCAGGATGGAAACAAGCAAAAGGGTCAGTGCTCGAACCCTAACACCCCGAACCCTAGCAAAGACAAGGAGTTTTGGTACTGCAACAAGAAAGGCCGTGTGGAAGCCGAATGCAGGAAGAAGCAAGCCGATGCCAAAGCCAAGCCCAAAGCAAGAGCCGGCGTTGAGGCCAGTGAGCTGTTTCGCAAAGGATTTGACTCTGGAGTTTTGTTAGGTCCTGGGATGGTTACTGTGACAGGTGAGCCTCTAGCCTCTAGCCAGTAACCAGAAGTTGAAAAGCCAGCTTGAAACCAGGCAAAGGAGAGTGAAGAATCTGGACGGGGTGACCCTGCCCAGGGTTCAAGTGCGGGTGGCCCTGCCCAGAGTTCAGTGCGGGTGGCCCTGTCCAGGGTTCTAGTGTGGGTGGCCGGGCCAGTTCCGGAGACAGATGATCCTGGAGCCGATGGCCCCGCCCAAGAGTTGCCTGCAATTGGCGATGTGCCAGCTGAAGTGTCCGAACTGTGAGCAAAGCTGAGTTTGACGAGCGTGTGCTCACACATCTCCCAACGAGAAGCTGGTGCGACCATTGCATGAAGGGCAAAGTGAGAGGAGATTCCTACTCTGCGAGGGAATCCAGCGGGAGAGCTTCGGAAGTTCCTCGCACTTCCTTGGACTACTGTTTTCTGGGACGAGCTCTGAAGGGCGAAGTGAATTCAGTAGAGGAGGTGAAGGTACCTCAAGATGAGAAGGATGGACTCCTTCCCATTTGGTGATTGTGGGTGAGAGGTCTGGTTGTGTTTTCTCTGGAGTGGTGGCCAAGGGTGTTAACCGGTATGCCACAGGGTTGGTGGCCGAAGCCTTGAAGTTTTGTCGGCGCCAAAAGGTCATCATGATGACAGATGCTGAGCATAGCGTCAAGGCCTTAGCAGAGAGTGCTGCTAAGAGCTGGGCCGGAAGCGACCAACATCAGACGGCGCCCAAGGGATCACACGCGTCAAATGGCGCGGCCGAAAGGGCCACGTTGGAGTTGGCGCGCCAAGTGCGTACCCTTGCAGCCCTTGCAAGTGCTTTTGAGAGCCATTACAAGAAGCCCCTGGAGACAGAGGGGAACATCTTTCCTTGGCTTGCGCGCCACGCGGGTGGGCTTATCTGGCATTTTCTTGGATCGCCGTACGAACGTCTACGTGGACGAGACTTCCATGGAGAAGTCGTTGAGTGCTATGAGGTTACGCGCTACAAGCTAGATAGTGAGAAAACCAGGAAGCTTGACAAGACAAGCAAACTTCTGGTTGGTGTGTGTGTGTGTGTGGCTAGGCAAGTCGTTGGCCTCAGACGAACATTTCTTGGGTGCAGCCCAGGGAATACATCGATGCGGAAGCATCTGGAGGCGGCCAGAAGAGAAAAGGTGGGAACTGAAATACCTTGAGAGTATGGTTGTGAGCCCGCCATTGTTGCTTCAGACAACAGGTCAACAAGGCGCCGAGCACGCCAGCCAGAAGGCCACCTTCAGGCCTTCAGGTGTACATCACCCTTGAGCGTCAACTCAAGCATGGGCCGACGCCAGAGTCAGGGTTGCAATTGTGATGATGCGAACCCAAAGCCGTGCAATGCAGAGTGCCGGAGAAGATTTGAGGAGCTGTGCCCGAAACAACCCGTGCCAGGAACACCTGGTACACCAGTCCCAGGTGCGCCAGTCCCTGGGACTCCTGCGCAGCCCATGGACTTGGAGTGGGGAAGCGCGAGCCAAGTCAACGCTCCAGTGGAGGAAAACACGTGAAAGATCGGGTCGAAAGCGAGAAGTCCCGGATGCGGGCGGTCCCGCTCAAACGGGATCCGGCAGCAGCGGGTCGCGCCGCGCTGTTGGGAAGGACTCCGATGGACCTAAGAAGTAAAAGAAGCCGGACCCAAAGATTGAGAAACGTCCTTTTGACGACCAAGAGCTTCTGGGCGGACTGCCCACCCTTCATGAGCAGGGACAGTGGGGGCCACGTGAACTGAACAAGATGGAGGAGCACGAGGTTAAGAAAGTCGTGGGAAGAAGCCCGACGACAGGGACTGAAGATAGTGCGCAGTCGGTGGGTACTGGAAGCCTCTGCCAGATGATCCAATTGGGGTACGCAGCCGCTGCGTAGCTCAAGAGATTCAACGACCATGAAAGGGATGACGTGTTCAGTAAAACACCTCCCTTGAAGAGTTCTCCTCTCTGCGGCTGCTACAGCCAAGAAGTGCAGAACAAACCGGCGTAAGCTTATCACTAGCTACGACATTTCTGTTGGCTTCTTCCACGTGATTGCCACGGGCAAGATCGCAGTTGTTCCGCTGAAGGACCGCGATCAGTCCAAACTTTCCTCCTCAAGGCAATGAACGGAACACGTGAAGCATCGCGTCAATGGGCAAAGCGAGTGCGAGAAGTGATGCTTGAAGCAGGCTTCTGGGAAGTCCTTGGAATTCCTGGCTTGTTTTACCACGACGAGTGGTGCGTGACTCTTAGTTGCCACGGCGATGACTTTATCGCGGAAGGCGAAAGCGATGACTGGGATCGATTGGATGCGCTAACGCTTCAGGCCTTTCAGGCCAAGATCCTGCCACGTATCGGTCCTGCGGAGTTTGGAGGCCAAACTACGTCGGGGGACCATTTGCACCGCATCATTCGATGGAGTGAACATGGATTCAGTTGGGAGGCCGATCCCAAGTATTCACGGCAAATTGTGGAAGAGCTCGGCAGCGCAGGTGCAGCATGCTCGACGTTGCTCGACCCTGAAGCAGCAAAGACGTTCAGGAAACTTGCCGCTGTACCTTTCACAGGATCGTCCGACGATTCCGTATGCCCTATCAGAGATCACTTCTCGTATGGCATGTCCTACCATTGAGCACGAGCTCAAGTTGAAGCATCTCGCGAGGTACTTAAAGAAGTACCTCCTTGAGGTGTGGCATGTCGACTACCAGGAGCAGCCCGAAGAGGCCGTGGTGCTTACGGACTCTGACTGGGGAGCGTGCAAGCGCACACGCAAGTCAATGTCCAGCTATGTTGAGAGGTTTGGCAAGCCTCTAATTGATGCTTCTTGCGCCAAGCAATCAGCGATAGCTCTCAGCTCAGGAGAAGCTGAGTTTTACGCCTTGGTGAGAGGCTCAGCAGCAGGACTGCTTACGATCCAGATTTGGGACCGTATAGGCTTCAAGGGTATGAAGCTTACGATGAAGACCGAACCAAGCGCAGCGAAAGGGATCGCTACAAGGAAGGGCTCTGGCAAGGTCAAGCACCTTTCCACGAAAAAGCTTTGGATACAAGACTGTGTCCAACGCAATCAGCTCAAGGTTCAGAAGGGGTCCACTAGGACGAACTGGGTTGATTTGGGAACTAAAGCGCTGTCGGGCTCCAAAGTGACAGAACTAGTCACGGGCATGCCTCTCACAAGGGGCTTGGTCATGGCGTGCCTGTTCGCTTCCTTTGGCGTGGCTACGGGACAACCGAAGGAGGACAAGCCTGAGAACGCCGACGTGGCATTCTTCGTCTACATGGTGATCATCCATATCCGCGCTTCGGACCATTTGGCGCCGGATCAGATCCGCACTTGCGTGGTTCATGGAGCCGCGTGACCCAACGAAGACGGCTACACCAGGCCGTGTGAACCGACGAGGTCTTGGACAAAACACCCAGGTCTACACTACCCGTAAAGGCAAGAAGTTTCATATGAGACACTGTAGGCACCTGGGCCAAGGTGACGTCAACACGCTGCAGAGAGCTGATGCCATTAACCGTGGCTTCAGTCCTTGTACAGACTGCAACCCCTGAGGAGTGCCTGCCGGCTGTCCAGCTCAAGGATTCAGCTGGCCATGGAGAGGTGTCAGGATACATAGCTTATTCTGAGTTCCATGCTGTAATGCTTACTATTGGAAGCCCTTTTGGCACAAGGTGAGAAAACAAAGTAGCCTGTGCCTGGCTGTGTGTGGTTTGAATGTCAACCTAAACCCTTGCAGAGTTTCTCAAAGCAACCCCTAACAAAGCGACCAGGCCCGCGTTGCCTAGATACCCGTGGGCTGCTCAAGGATAGCTTGCAAACCCATGTCGTAGCCATATTAAGAGACCTTGAGCAGTGGGCATAGGGGCCCCCATTGTAGTTTAGGTAGAGTCCCTAATATTGCCTCTGAATAAGGAGCCCATGTCCCATTAACTGCCAGGCTGTTGCCTTCCTGGGCTGCTGTGTTGCTCTCTGTGAGCGCTGGGGCCCCAGAAAGACCTCCAACTCTCCTCGCAATTAAAGGTGGCAATGGGATGCTCCCGAAATTCGGGATCATGCACAATGCGAGGGCTATATTTTTTGTTGAGATCTGTGTCTACTCGGCTGCAACCAGCCTTAGCTGGGAACCTTTGTTTGCCAACCTTCTCTTCCCTTTGTTGTTTAAGAAAGATGTTGCAGGTCCCTAAACAAAGATGCCCACATATTGTCTTTGCTATGAAGGTACCTGTAGCTTGAGGGAGCTCTCATGTGCGGAGAATACGGCCTGCTTAGTCCCGAGGTTGTCCTCATCTGCGGTGAGATTCTGCCCTCAGCTGCATGGCTCTCAGCTGCCAACGAGCTCTGTTTAACCAGAGGCTGATTGGCCTGCAGATGTTGTCACAATTCTTTCAGTGAGCTTCTGCATGGATCGGCAGTCCTAGGATCTGCTCCAGAGATCCAAGTGTCAAACACAGTGTATCGGTATGTCCGTGTTTTATTGTTCCTTGGATTTCTCTTTGAAGCCAGACCTTTCATTTCTCACGGGCTGGCTTGAAAAAACAGCAGCAAGGCTGCTGTATGAGGACCCCCTCAATGTGCTGGGAGAGTTGGGAATTCTTTGAGTGCCATTTCCGTTACCTACTACAGGAAAGTGGGTGGGGGCTTAGGAAACAGCTACCGGGCATTACCAATCATAGAGGAATGAGCGTGGGGAGTCTGAGTCCGGAGCAGGAGAGGAGGTGGGCGACAACGGAGCCTGAGTCTGCCGTCGTATGTAGGGCTGACGACGACAGAGCCTGAGAACCTGTGAATAGCTACCCCTACCTAGAGTATTGTCGACAGCCACTGTCCCCCCCTTTCAAAAGCAACAGTAGCAGCATCAGCAGCAGCACGCGGCACCGCTGCCACTGCCGCCACCGGTGCCACCACCACTTTCATTGCATGGACTCCCTTTCGCTGGCAACAATTCATGACTCACGACACATCATAAAGAATATGCAGAGCAGAACTCTACATGCTTCGGCGATGTTGCATCTGACAATTGGTCACAAGGAGCTCAGCTGTTTTGGGGCCCAAGTTTGTGCAGTGACAAGATGGAGCCAGTGAGGTGTTCACTGGTCCAAACCAGTTTGCCATCGCTTCGGCACTTGTACCTTTGGTGCAGATCTTGGAGGCTGTGTCTCAATGTTAGATGACCTGATGACATCCTGTGACAATGCAATGCAGTGCAGGTGGTGTTCTTCCCCGTGGCCCGGCCTATCGCCTGAACCTTAACTTACAGACGGGGCGCAGCAGTTTTTGTTGGCCCGGGCCTCTCAAGGCGAATGTGCTGGACCAGATGTTCAAGGAGGAGGCCCGGCGGATTTTGGGCTCTCCTGATTTATTTCAGGCGCAGCTTCCTTCTGATGTTCTGCTGCAAGAGTTGCGGTCGAGAGGTCCATGCAGACGGCCCCAAGTACTCCAGGGCCGAACTCCGCGCGCTGCGGTGCTCCCAGAGGGGCTTCAAAAACTCCTGGATCGCATTTTGGAGTCCTTGGTGTATTGGAATCTGTGAGAAGTTTTTTCTGGGATGCCCTTGAAAAACATTAGATTTTTAGATCATGATCAGATTGGGCTAATCGCGTTTTGTGGCGTATTGGCTGAGGCTTTTGCTCCATGGCCCGGATGATGAAGAGCCCAGCAAGGCAAGGCCCAGAGTTTTCGAATTTAATTTTTTAAGGGGCAGAGGGCCAATTTATAACTCGGAGGCCCGCTTAGAACTCTGTGACTCGATGCCAGGAAAGTCACGAAAGCAATGGGCAGTATTGCAACTGCGCCATGAGCTGGGAGCTCGCAGAAGAGAGGGACGCTGATGGGTAGTTCCGAGTGTAGGAACTGAAAGATATATGCCGGGGTTCAAGGTGCAGATGCGAATGTGACGCCAAAGGTGCAGGACAATGCGTGCATCACTGTGATAGTGAAAGGCATGTTGCATCTTTGCAGCCAGGATCCGGAGGACGAGGCCTTGGGCCTTGAGAGGAAGTCACAGGTTCCAGGTAAGCTTCTGAGAATGGGAATCGGCGCCACGAGGTCATCGCCAAGTCCGAGCTGCGCATGCTGGACGGGGTCATGCCTGGCATGCTTACTTGGGGTGGATTTGGTGAGGCTGCGCTTGCTGGGCTTGCTGGCCAGGTCCTGAACCTGCGAGACCGCACTTTGTCCCAACTGCGCTGCTTCACGCCTCTGAAGCTCTGCCGCATTGCCAGCGGCCAGGAGCAGGCAACATGTGGGAAGCTTTTTTTTGCGCGGAGCGCTGCAACGGTTTCGGCCGTTCGGCAGGCCGTAGATGTGGTGGTCTGGAGCTCAACGGAGCTCAGCGGAGCTCAGGATTCTGCGAGGCTCCTTTTCTGTCGCCTGGCCAGGCGCGCTGTGCTCTCAACGGTGGCGACCGCTGTGTGGTGGTCCTGCAGGGCGCATACACTCTGCGTGAACAGGAGGTCAGTCAGGGTCCGACCTCGTTCGAATAGGTCTCGGATCGACGTCAGATTTACATAGATACGTTTCCGATTACAAAACAAGTACCAAATAGATGAATCCGGGGTGCGTGAGGAGGCTATGGTGCCTGCCATTTGTACGCTCCGGGTGCATTGAATATATGGGGGTCTGTGCCTCACACTGGGATTTGGGGAGGGGCTCGCAAAAGTTCAGAGACCGTTTCGTTGAATGTGCTGTTTTTTCGTGCAGCCTGCGCCTTCCACTGAGATGGCGGCAGGCAGAGGCCAAACGATTTTGTTTTAGTGGCTCAGATTTTACTGCAGGCCTTGGGCCTATTTCTACAGACCCCAGCTTGGGACTATCTCCTAGTAGACAGGGTGCTGTCATCAAGTGCTGTCTGAAGATTGCCTGAGCCTGAGCAAAGGCACGATGGCTCCACAGCCGTACTGGGAGCTCCAACTTCGCCACTTGCCACAACTTGATGAAAAAAAGACTGAGAACAACTCCCCCAACCTCACCTGATATTCAGTTGCCGCTGCTGAGGCCTGATGGCGGAGGCTTTGACCACGTACGTAGTAACAAGATCCAGTACGTAGTACGTCTTTCTGCCAGGCGACAGCGACACCGACATCGGGCTGGGCACCATCTGCACGGCTTGGTAGGAGTCGTTTTTGTCACTTTTGTTTTGAGGTCCCCAACCGCGGCCTCGCCGAAGCTCACCTTGCGTGTCTCCGCCGTGCGCGGGACCATGCGCATGCAGGAGATGTTGAAGGGAGGTTCACAGAAGCTCGGCGACCTCTGCGGGGCGCCTGCCTCCGCCTCATCCATCTCATCAACCTCAGCCCTCTTCAGACAGTCCTGCCATGTCCTTATGTTGCCTCGCTTGCCTGGACCAGAGGTTACGGTGTGCGAGGACGCTTCCCTCATGGAGGTCTGACACTTCATTGGGAGTTGGGCTCCGCGCTCCGCACCTGCTGTACTTCGAAGGTTTTAGCGAAGCTCCGGAGCCATCGCTGCTCCAGCGGCATTGTAGCTGCCCTCTTGGCAAAGAGGGTGATCAAGGTGACGCGAGCATTTCATGGCTCGCGCTGAGGTCCGGTCCCTGGACGGCGCGGCAGTTGCTGGCTCAGAAATCTCGAGCCAAGCACACACAAGCCTGTCGAAAATCTTCTCAAGGACACGGTCCGTGGGGTGGTCCACATCTCCCAGGTGCTCTTTTTTTGGCTAGCTCTAAAGTGTCCTAAGCTTGGCTGAGAGCAGGTCTTGTCTTTCCTTATGACTGCCAAAGATTGCAGCCGGGAAGGCACCAAGGATATGCCAGGCTCTCGGAAACGCTCATGCGATGCTTCAGCGGAGCGAAACGAAGCTTAGCAGCTTACATCTGCTGATAAGAGATGCCATTGCTTGATGGTACAGAAGGGGCTGAGACATGAGTGCATAATCACGCAAAGCTTTCAGGTGGAGCCCCAGCGTGTCGCCAGGCGGGCCCTTTTTCGGGTGTTCCTTTGCTTCTTTGCTTGTTGCTGCCCGCGGACTTTGCAATCTGTTACATGTGACAGGCCTTCGGCAAGTGGCGTCCAGTGCACAGAGGCCAACCTTCCGTGTTCATCTTCAGTGCTGGCCATGTCTGCAAAGCGGCAGGCGACATCCCCTGGCCCGCGCGAGGCCACAAAGCTAATTTGCCGTTCCATCGTTGCTTCAGCCTTTTGGACGAGGTCCAACCTTGGTGGAGATTCGGGCCTTGCTGGTACCAACACGCAGACGATGACGATGCGCCTCGGTGTAGCCTTGGGCAGCGCAAAGCGTTCGTGCTTCAAGCTGCAAAGCTGCATCTCTTCTGAGGATGCGCTTCCGCCGGACCTGGCACCACGAGGACCATATTTGACTTTATCGAGCAATTTCCTCACACAACTTTCGCACGCTTTCACGATGTGGGAGGATGCTCCGAAGCAGCAGCTGGAGCGCAGCCATAGCAGGTAGTTGCAAGCGCCGCACGTCTCACTTTGAAACCTGTCTCACTTCAGAGCACCACAGAGTGCTGTGTCATGGAAAATTCCGACGGAGTAAGGGGAATGCTGGCTGAAGCTTACCATTTGTATTGAGCGTTACGGTGAGCTTCCGTCACTCGACAGAACTGTTCCAGCTACTAAACCCCAAAACGCTCAAGAGTGCTCAAGCTTACCCCTGCATTCCTCCTCTTGCCCTCACAGCCATGACCACACAGTCTGGCCGTTGCACAGCAACTAGGTGCATTGGCGGCGTAGATGGAGCCAATTCGTTCGCAGGGTGTGCAGCACACTCAGGCCAACGAGTAGTTAGCGCACAGCTGGCCAAGCTCCGACCGCATGGACCAGCTTTCGGAGCGCTTGCCCCAGAGATTGGCTCCACCAATGCGAGGGTGGATGTCCTGGAGGCAGAAGTCCGTGCTCTCAAGCTACGCGCTGCATGGACGCAGCGATGCATTCTGAGCTCACAGGTGGAGCAGGCCACGCGCGCCATTCCAGATTGGTTGACCAATCAGGACGGACAGGTCACCATCAAGCATGCCCTCACACACGCAAGCTTGCATATCGAAGGAGGGCCACAACTTTGGGATCTCGACCTGTTAGCGGGCAACTCTCTAGCAGCCCAGTTCTATTGGGCGCTTCCGCTGCCTGCCTAGTTGAACAGTGCCAGGAACAAGCGTGTTAGGATCTCCCTTACGGATAAGATTACCTAGCAGTGTGCCGTTTCACTGCGGCAATGATCAGCTTTTGGTTGGCAAAGAAGGTGTCTCAGGAGTCACAGTCCCCAACCTCACACTTCGCTGCAGGCTTGCAGCCGGATCAGGCGGAGAATCCAAAGCCGGACCGGCTGGCGTCGGACACAGGCAATGGCAACATGGGGTATTCTTCCGCTACAACCACAGCTAGAAAGCCCGCCTGCTTGGAAACCCTTTGCGATCCTTCAAGCAGAAAGGCCCGTGAAGACAATTGCGGTCCTGGCAGATGCACTCACTCTCACAGGGAAGTCCAGCTGCGTCATCTGCGCTCATCGAAGCACCGGTATCCAAACTGGATGCACGTGAAAATGGCACATGTGGGCAGCGCTGCAGCAGCTGCGGCAGCGGCCTGCCAACAACATCCAAGAGCCACAATTGTCCCAGGGCGGTGCTGCGTGGCAGTGCTGGCGGCTACCTGGGCTTCTGCGTCGCCAGGGTGGACTTCAATCTGGCCCACCTGCGGCTGCGTCGTCTGCATCAAAATCGGCTACAGTACGCGACCTGAGCTTCTGCTTCTGGAGGATTCTGGCGCTCGATCACGATCTGGTTCTCCTGATGCTACGTCAAAGTTCACTGCGTCGCTGCGTCAGCTACCTTGGCTTCGGCTTCACAAGCGTTTTCGGCTTCACAAGCGTTTTGGTGCTGGATCTCAATCTCGTTCTCCTGGCGTTGCAAACTGCAAAACAAGCCAAGGCGACCTCGAGGGCAACTCTACCAGCCCGGCCTACGCTGGAGGAGTCAACCTGTCAGCGCGACGCAAGGGTATCCACAGAGCCCCAGAAACGACATTGGGGGAGTGGATTCCGGAAACTGGTGCTCGTCCTTATCCTACGTTGCTTACTGTTGATGTTGGCTTCGCTCTACTAGAGGCTTGCAGGAAGCCTTCAGTAAACCTGCAGAACAGCCGTGCTGTAGCAGGGCGGATCAAACATAACAGTTTGACGAACGCACACTGTGACGGTCCACTCCACCAAAGAAGAACTGGAAACTAACTAGCGCCCACCCCATGTGCCTGGCAGCTGCGTTCAGGCCATCGGCTTTGTGCGTCAGACTCTGGAGAGCTATGACGCCATGTGGAACCAGAAAAACCTAGCAGGTTGCAAGACCTCTGCTGCAAACGAGGGCGGGAAATCTGATGTAAACAGGGCTGAGGCCGCATGCCCTCCTGCGTTGCCGCTTCCCTTTCTACATCCTGTCAGGCAGAGAATCGAAGGCGTGACTTTGACTCAGACCTGACGTGCCGCAACACTCGAGTCGAGCTAGACTCCATGTCGGAGTTGTAGTGTTTCGGCCCTATAGAATCCTCTGTGGACGGACAAGCGTAGTCATTTTGCAATTTATTGGTTTCAGACCTTCGGGCCCACCCAATAAAGCCGCCGCCTGATATGAGAATCACAACTCTCTGGGCCCCCCCAACCTGACCTTTTTTGGGTCCATCTGATAAGCCTTAGTGCGTACACAAGGACCCTCAGTTTTGGAAACCCGTAAGCCTGCTTAGTCCCCCAAATCTGACCCGGAGGACAGATTCGCGTCTGCAGGCTTCATCACCCATGGGGTCCCGTGCTGAAGTTGACACATAGGGCTTCTTCTGTGGTGCGGTAGTGGCCTGTCATAGAACTACATGTTAAATCCAAAAATCCAAGAAATGGGAATCCAATCGTCAAGCACAGAAAAAATGCTCCTGCCGACTCTGACACACACACGTGGCTAGAAGTTGAATGACCTGGGCAAGATTAATCTATCAGCGCCCCCTGCCCCCCTGCCCGCCCCTCTGGTTTGTGGTCTGGGTCTTTCGCTGAGATGGAGGTTTGTGAAGAGCTTATAGTGTAGTGTTTGTAGAGGGTCTATACGTTTTACCCGCCGCTGTGGTCCTGTGGCCCATGGTCTGGGCCTTATGGTTTACGTTAGGTTTACGCATAGTCTGAAACCGCTCAGGTGATCTTGATGGAACACGCTTCTGGCTGCCGTGGCCTCAGGGCTTAAGCGTAGGGCTCTTGGAACTCTTAGAGAAATTTTGAGCCTGGCGCTTGAATGGAAAAGTCCATTGTGTGACTGCCGCTTCGTCGAGTTGCAGCGCAATCCTCAGCGTGAACTTCTTCAAGTTTTACATGGCAGCGGAGTTAGGTCCTTTGGGTGTTGACCAGCTCCGAGTGATCTGGCGGCGGTCCAGCTTTCTGTACAAGATGGCCAAAAAGTCTGATCCCTTCGAAGGTCTTACTTTTTCAGGTGCCCCTGCAGAGTACAGACATTTTCGTCGGAAGGTTCTTCTCCACGTCGCGAGCCTCGAGGAGAAGCATGCGCGACTGGCTGGCCCAAAGATATTCACCAGGCTGACTGGTGAAGCGTGGAGCGCCACCGAGCACCTCTCCATTGCCGACCTCCGTACCGAGGACGGATGGCTTACCAGCACGGGCGGGTCACCATTATATATAAAGGCGAATAGCCTTTTAATGGTGATGAGCTTATTCACTATTATAATGTTTTTCATGTTGCAAGGTTTTGCGTAACACCACATCATGAGCATCGTTCATGCTAACATAAATATACTTGCAACGCATGTGGATGACCACATTTTTGCATGACTTGTCTTAGATCCTTTCGCGTGATCTGGGTATGGATGCTCTTGGAT